ACGGTTGGAATGCCTACCCGATACAATTGCTGCATGGACACTAGAAAGAAAGAAAGAAGAATCATTCAAAAGCAAAACGCTTGGTGATCACAGAGAGAGAGCCTTTTTGGTATGGCAGTAATGTTCGACCTTGGCCACACATTAAAATCACCTGAGCTTTAAAAATACTAATATCTGAGTGACACCTCTTGAGATTCTGATTCCAATGGTCCAGGGTAGACGCAGGTATCCATAGTTTTTTTTTTTTTGTAGTCTCCCCAGCTGATAACATCCAGCCAAGGTTGAGAGTCCCCGCTTTGTAGAAAGGGAAGGCTCAGGTTACTTCCTTAAGGGTTGCAGTTCACCTTTGAACCAATGTCATTGGCATCAATATTATTTGCGTAAAGTTCTCTCTTTCCTCATCCTTCCACATTTACCTGCTCCTGTACATTTTTAGGCTTTGGGGACTGGGATAGCGAGAAGGGAAAAAAAATTAAGTCTGAGCTCAATCTAGCCCAAGTGTGTCTGGAAACAGGGCAACCTGCGAAGGCTTTTCTCCATCCTCTGTCCTTCACCGTTATCCTGCATCCTGGATTCTGCCCTGCGTGTTGATTGCAGACAGCAGGAGTGGAAGAGATGACTCTCTCAATAAGAGACCAGATCCTTTCTCACTGTCCTGACATATTGGATTAGGGGATGTTAGCTCAGCTCAGCCAATCTGATATCCCCACTCAGCACTTTGAACGTGGGATCAGTGGTGCAAAGCGTCAAGGACAGTAGAAAATTCGTTTTGGCATCAGCAGTGGTGTCCCGTCTAGAACTGGTTTTGTCCCACTTTCCTTTGTTCCCGCCTATTCTCTGTGTCTTTTTCTCCACACTTCCTAGTAATTTTGAGGCACGTGTTACGTTCCCTTTTCTTTATCGGTCAGCTCAAGGTGTTTTCTGTTGCTTGGAACTTGCAGCTCAAACCGATATGCTGCAGCACCGTGGAGAGCACCCAGAGATCATCAGGGCATTCCTGTGGATGGTGGGGTCAATGGGACTATCTAATAAAGCCTTTCCCAGAGGAGATGTATGTGTCCTTTGCCTTCATGAAATACACATGAAGTAAAATGAATCAGACGAAGCCTGGGCCAAATTCTTCTGCTTCCCTGTTATAAGGCTGATCTCTTCATTCTGTTAGTCTCATTGCTTTCTGCAGGCGGTAAGCTGTCATCAGTGTCTGACTTGGGAGCTGAAATCCCTTACACTCCACGGTGGGGAGGTAAAGCCCTTTTGGCTTCTTAAGATACACCGACACCTCATTTTCTTACAGGATGGAGTGCAACACCTGAGAGGTTTGATAAATTGGGTTTCCAAAGTCCAAACTTTATTGTGACTACTGGGGGAATTTATTTGCTTTTGGGTAAGAGCTTTTTTTAAGCCAATTTTGAACATTTCTTTTGAGAGTTACTGCCATAAATCTACACTATTGATTTAGCAAGTAGTGGTTCTTGGGCTCTCTCTGGAGTCACTCAAGGGTTTAAATTCCTCTATTTATTACTCCAAAGATATCACAAGCCCCATATAGGCTGGCACGGAGGGTTCTTGGTCCCTTCAAGGCAAAGGCTTAACAGAGATTTCAGTTGGCTCAGAGGGAGTAGGAAAGCACTGGCCACAGACAGAATTGCAGACAGGTTTCTTCTTTTCTTGGTCCCCATCTGCTAGCATAATGTATCGTACCATGGTATTGTGTCTGACAGGGACAGTTACCAAGTAAATGCACTGTATACAAATCTGAACAGATCCCAGTTCCTGATGAGCAGCAGGGAATTGGCATCTATACTCTGGCTTGTTCTCCGGGAGCTCCTGGACCAGCCCTAAAGGGGCACGTTTAAAAGGTGGCTTTTGACCAAGTCTAAAGTCACAGAGGATGAACATAGTGTCAAGTCCTGCTAAAAACAGGAAGAGCTCACATTATTAACCTTTGGTCGTGCCAAGTTCTGTTCTAAGCGCCTGAGACCTATGTGATCATTTATTTAATCCTCGTATCAACTCCATGAAATGGGAAGGAGTTGAGTTCCCACTTGGCAACTAGGGAAAAAAGGGCAGAGCTGCCCAAAGTAACCCAGCCGGTAATGGCTGATGCCGGGACGTGAGCTCAGGAGGTCTGCTTGGAAGGTGACAGCAGATGAGTCATGACACTGGCTGTGTTCCCCTGAAAGGGTCACGGGTCCTCTTCTTGCTTCTACCCACTACCCTCCCTCCTGCCCTTTACCACTTCCTTTCTGTTTCATTCTTTAATGAAATACTTCTTGGATGCCCAATATTCCCAACAATTAACACTGGATCTGTGCAGCAGGAGTGAGATGGAGGAAAGGGCTGTATCAAGGACCAGTTCCAGCCCCAAAGCCAGCACTGTCACACCCCCCGGGTACACTAGGGGTCCCATGGACCACAGTTTGGAAGTCACCACACTGCACTGTCTTTAGGGCAGGAGTCTTCCGCCTTAAAGAAGGGGGTGGGTCGAAGGCACGTTGTAAAACCTCTAGCATTATTCTCCGCGTAGGCATCCTTTAGGGGTCACGACGGGATCTTGGGATAACTGGATTTTTGCCACGTGCAGTACTAAGGAAAGGGAATTCTTTGTTGAAGAGGGTCAGATAAGCAACAGCTACGTCTCCAGTGAGCACAGCCAAGTAGCCAGCTCTGCTGCAGATAAGGAGGTACCAAGGGAGGCTGTGAGTCCTGAGAGGGCAAGATTAAACCCCCTGAAATGAGGGAAGTCATGAGCCGAGTGCTGGGAGAGGCTGGCAGAGCATGCAGGAGGGATGTCCGGAAGTTGAGTTAAGCAGACCCCGATCCCTCCAGGCCTTAGCTGCTGGGCCAAGAAGGCTTAGTTCGGAAACACTCCAGATTCCAGACACGTCTCCCTCATTTTCCAAGACAAATAATTCACTCTTGATCTTGCACAGCCCATGGCTTGAGGTTCCAGACGCTGAAATCGTTTTCCCTCCCAGAGGGATATGCAGCAGCTCATAAATCGCTCTCCTCCGGGCTCCACTTCCAGCCCGGAGTACCGGAAGGAAGATTCATGAGTGCCGGTGCTTTGGCTGGTGCAGCGACCTTGCTGTTACGTCCTGCCCCAGGCCTGAGGGTAACAGAGTGAGAAATTAGCGTTCTGGTTACTGGGCAAGACCTGAAGATTGAGTGGGTGCATCTTTAACTGATAATCCCCACAGCAAAGGGAAGAGTTTCTCCGTGACGCTTCACAGTGGTACCAGCACATGCTTGGGACGCAGTGTTAACATCTCTGGTGTTTCTTTCTTGATGTGCTGTGGAAAATCCCCCTCAGTTCACCTGACATCAGGTGACCTTCCCAGAAGCTGCCAGCCGAGAGAGTGCTAACTGTTGGCCCACCACTTACTTAATATTTAGCCTACAGGCAAAGGGTAGTGGGGGCCCCTCAGCCTGGCCTCAGGATCCTTCCTGGCCCACCTTACAAACCCAGCTGTATGCCTGGGATGCCCTTCCTTGTTGCCTTCACCAATATTGATTCTTTCGTTTCAGTAGTTCCAGAAAGCTTCTCCCATTTTCCCTTCTCTGACCTCCTAAAAACAAGGGCTGGCCAACTTCTTCAGTAAAGGTCCAGTTAGTGAATACTTTAGGCTTTGCGGGTGTTACATTACCTGACATAATTATTCAACCATATTCTTGTATGTAACACGAAAACAGCCAGAGAAAAAACCTAGACAAGCGGGCAGGGCTGTGGTCCAGTGAGACTGTTTACATAAAACAGGTAGCAGGCTGCATTTGGGTGACACACCACGGTTTGCCCATCTCTGTTCTCAGGAGACTTGCTTGGTGTCTTGTAATTTCATACTCGACCCCCAACTAAATTAGAGGAGAATGCCGTCGAGAGCACAGGGCTGGGAATTGGGAGAGGCTGCGTTCAGCTTGCTTCTGCCACTAACGAGCTGTGTGGTTGAGAAGAAGCAATTTTCCCTTCCTGGGCTTTCGTTTTGTCATCCGAAAAATGAGATGTTTGGACTGTCGGTCATTCCCCAAGCATCAGAATTGCTGGGGCAAGCTTGCTTTTAAAAAATACATATATCTGGGCCCACTTCAAATACAGGGTAGTGGTCACATTTCTTAGTTGCAGACATCAGAGTCCCTTTAGCTAACAAGCCCTTCTAAAGAGAAGAGTTTTCCTTAAGGGATACTGGACAATTCCAGGAATCTCTAGGAGAGCTGTTGGATTGAATGTGTTTCTTACACAGCCAGGGACAGGGCAGACGGGGCAGAAATACAGACAAGAAAAATGACCAACTCTGCAGTGGACCTCTGCACTGGAAACATCTCTTGGCATGCTAATACAGGGGCCTGGATGACAGAACCACCACAGCTGCCCCGGAAGAACCCGGACCATGATGCTTGTCAGAAAAATCCTAATTTCCTTCCCCACTGCCGCTTCATAACCCACTTCTACATCTAAGTACCAGTAGAGTGGCTCTGACAAGTGGAAACTTGGCTTTAGTCCTGCAGGTAGCTTCAGGGGAGTCTAGAAAGGTCATTTCATGCTTCTCAGCTTCTGTAGGAGGATAAGCTAGGAAGGGGTTGAAAAGACGTTGATTTAGCTGCTTACAATATCTACCACACAAACGACACTGAACTTCAAGGGGGTCCACTGAGTTCCAAGGTCATCCAGGTCCATGGTGCCAGGGTGAGGCAAACGGGAGTAACTCACTGTCTGAGGAGCTGGTCAGAATCGGTCCAAGAGACCCATCAGCACAGACGCTGATGCTCAATGTTGAAGATTCTTCGGCCGCGTTCTTAACGTGTGGGCGCTCTTCCATCCCACCCGCCCAGGTCCCTACATTGTAGCTGCTGCCAAGTCCCAGGTGCTGTGCCTGAAAGGCATTTCCTTTGTCCTTACATTCTAGTTATAATCGTGAGGAGAATGGAGCAAAGGGGTTGAATGTCCTTCTACCGAACCAAGTCAGCTTAGAGCTATTTTCCTCTGCTCTCTTCCAGAAGCAGCAGTTTATTCAATGAGGTTGTGCAGATGAACTTTGAAATCGCCAGCTTCAGCAGCCTGTCGGGGAGTCAGCCCATCACCTGGCAGGTGGAATACCCGCGGAGGGGGACCACGGACATCGCCGTGTCTGAGATCTTCATCAGCCAGAAGGACCTGGTTGGCATCGTGCCCTTGGCCATGGTAAGACCGGTGTGATCGTGGATGCGCGTGTGATCGTGTGTTCAGCTGTCTGACTGTACCCTGGTGTCCCTCGTCTCTTTCCCAGGATGTTTGCCTCAGTTGTTTCATGGGGCGTTTGCATTCACAATTTCCCCTCTTCCTGGTCTTTGGAAGTTGCTGTCGTCGTTAATCCAGCCTGTCTCAACTTCAGCTATTTTCATAGCAGCTTCATGACATTTGCCAAATTTATAGTATTTACTTACTTTCTCTTCTTGAAGTCTACTCCAGTTCTTTTTACTTCTGTTCCTTTCTTATAAGGAAGCTTGAGGTCACTATGTCTATTAAGATGGGTATGGTACGTTGCTGCTGCAGACAGCCCCCAAATCTTAGGTGCCTAATGCCATCTAGGTTGTTCTTGCTTCTGCCACGTGGTTTAGATGGTAGGGGGCTCTGTTCCAGGCAGTCCCTCAGGGATCTAGACTGATGGATACGTCATCATCTTGGAGCTGGAACATCAGAAACACGTGGCCTTCTTGGTGGCAAAGACAGAGGAGCAGTCAGAGTGGCCCGCAAGCTCTTCTAAGCAATGGCGTGTAAATTACATAGGACACTTTCGCACACATCCTTGGGCAGAAGGAGTCCTGTGGCCCCGTCAGATTTCAAGAGGGCTGGGAAACATAGGTGCAGAGGAGAAGCTGGGTGACTACCCCAGTCTCTGCCTCACTACACAGTAAGTCAACATGTGATTGACACAAGTAGAACACGACACGAATAGAGTATACACAAACCCGTGTTACCAACTTCTAGCTAGACCCCGTGCAGCTGGAACTGAGAAGAGAAGAGGATGATAAGGGGCTAGACTGGAACTCTGTCCTGTGGTCACTCACCACGTCTGCCAAGCCCTGGGACTATATTCTCCAGGACCTGCCTGTGCACAAGTGTTAAGTCCTCCTTATGGAGGTACATAGAGGGTGGCGTTTCAGAGGCACTGGAAGAGCGTTCTGAAGTATAGCTCCAGTGGTCTTTGCCAGGATTCGCCTTCAGAGACATGGAGCCCGACGTGGATATTCTAAAACTAATTTCAGTTCAGCTTTGGAATAAGCAGGCTTCATTGACACCAGGTTAAGAAATATATCAATTAGAAGTCTTTGAGTTCCATGTGACAGAAAACCCGACTCAAACTGGCTTAAGCACGATGAGAAGTAACCAGCTCACATATAACTTAAAAAGTCTAGAAGAGTGTTTCTCAAATGTTAATGTTCATATAGGTCACCTGACGATTCTTTTCAGGTGCAGGTTCTCGTTTAGGAGGTCTGTGTTGGGTATTTTTTAAAGCTCCTAAGTTACGCCGATGCCTCTAGACAGAGACAGCAGAGCGCAGGTTGAGTACCAAGGGTGCAGGTGTGCAAATGACGTGATCACGGAAGGTGGCTTCTCTCCCCCTCTCAGCTCTGTGCTCCTCTTGGCTAGAGTCACGGTACAGGAGGCTCTGTCCCCAAGGTGGCCCCTGGCAGTGCCACGCTGACATAGTCACAGCATCACATCCAGCAGGAAGAGAGTGAAAGACCATTGCCGATCACCCAGGAAAACTCCTAGGACTGGCTCTGATTGGGATTGATTGGCTTGACTTGGGTCACGCGTCTAACCTGGGAAGCCAGTCACGGAAGCCAAAAGGACGTGATGCTCTGAATGGCCAGGCCTGGGGAACACCTCCCCCTGGAGCATGTCTGGGATCAGATGGAGGGCTGGTAGGCGTGGTGCAGGATGGGAAAATCTGATTCCACTGAAAGAGGGGCAATGACTGCTAGTCAGACACAGCAACAAATGTCCACCGCAGGAGGTGTTAGGATTTGTTAACACTCTGAGGTTAGAAAATGACTTCTCTTGACTTTTCATGTCCTAGAAGAGGCCTCAACAGTCTGCAGCCCACGGGCCAGATTCAATCCGCTGCCTCTCTTGGTACACCACGTGAGCTAGGAATGGTTTTTGCATTTTCAAATAGCTACGTTTTGAATGGTGATATAAGTCGCTTCTTGATATGCTCAGTTTTGCCCCTTGGGTCACAAACCCTGAAATAATTTCTGTCTGGCCCTTTAGAGAGAAAGTTTGCAGACCTATGTCACAGGACCTCGACACCAGTTCTAGGGTGTAGGTGCCTAGTTCCCACGCTACCTATTTCAAAAAGATAAGTCCTGCAGATACTGTGAAAAGTAAAGTCATTGTAAGTATATGAGATAGGATTTTGGCCACGCTCTTTGTTTTGGCCGTGCCCCGTGGCATGTGGGATCGTAGTTCCCCGATCAGGGATCAAACCCATGCCCCCTGCTATTTGCAAACCCTGAGTCTTAACCCTTGGGCCACCAGGGAAGCCCCTGGCCATGCTTTTCAAGGGACTACAAGAAAGCCTTCTTTGAAGCAATGGTATCATTATTATTGTGCTTATTATGTTTTTGTAATAGCTTTAAGGTAAAGTGAAATGACGACTTATGTCACACCCAGAATCCTTTTGTGTGCAAATAACTGTAAATGAATTCACACTGGCTTCATCCGGAAGGTCACAGAGTGGCTGACTGCACGGAACAGAGCGAGGACTTCCGACGGCCGGATTTAAGAGCTCATGTGATGTCATCCTTTTGCTTCCCCTCGAATGTACAGTTTGACATCAACTCTGCAAAGTGACGTGGACAGTTAGGAACTATACTAGCGAGTAGACAACAAAAGAGGCAATTTGGAGGGATTTCTATTCTCTTATTTTCTGTATTTTCAAAGGTTTTTGTTGTTTCTTTTTTTCTGGAATGAGCTTTAGTACCTTGAGAAGCGGCCAAAACAGAAACTTTTATCGAAAGGAAGTAGCAAATGAAATGGCAGCTTGACTAGAAGATGAGAAATTTTTTAAAAAACTGAACAAGAGGCACATCTTTATGTTTACCTGTCAGCAGCCAGTGAGGCAACGGGTCAGTCTTTGAAAACAGTTAATTGCCCCAATCGTTGCTCGTTCTAAAGAAAAGCAAACTGCCCACAGGTAACGTAGAGGATTCCCGAATAGGAAATGGGCCTCGTTGGGGGAAGTTCTCACCTTAAAATCAGGCCTTCTCAAACCCCTGCCTAAATCCAGGAAGAAAGCCATGACGCCACCCATGTGCTTCTCGGTGGCCTTCTATCTCACGCAGCAGTACCTTCCAACTCCCAGTGAGTAAATGAGACGGAGGGAGCAGAGGACGGTACCCTCAACTCTCCAGCAGAGTGACCCTTCCAGGCGGGAGCCCCCTGGATCACACTGCCCGCCCCCAGCACCATCCTGGGTGGAGAACTCGGCCTCACAAAGCCATCATTTACCCACCCCGCCGTCAGACTTAACTCAGCGACAGGACCCTTTCCTTGCATGGGGGCAGGAAAGCTTCAGGGTCCAGCTCCTTGGCCTTCGAGCATCTCCCACCCCGCCAGTCCTCAGCCCCTGCCCTCAAGGTGCCCACATCAGCTGGGGTGGAAGAGAGGGAGGGGTCTGGCCGCTGGGACCAGGACGGAAGGCGGGTCCAGGGCAGCCTGGGGCCAGCACAGACTAGGAGACGAAGCAGCAACTTTAGTGCCTGGGCTTCAGTTCTTCTTTGACATAAGAGAAAAGTATTCACATCGCTAGTTGAGACCCGACGAGAGTGTCACATGAGACCTCCACGTGACAGTTTCTGCAGGTTGGCGGCAGGGGTGCGGGGATGCTGGTCTCTTTTCAAGAATAAAGACGTGCAGAATCCACTCAACCTCACCCTGAGCTCTTACGAGGTGCAGGCACTGTGGGTGCACGTTGTGTTCCATCAGAGGAGTCAGCAGTAAACTAACAGGTCTTCCCCTCAGGGGCAGGGGGATGTGGGAGGCAGACAGACAGCAGATAGGAAGCTATTTCTTACGCCAAGACCAGGTCATGATAGGTGCTGCCATGAAGACGAATAACGCGGGACGAGGGGGTGGCGTGTAACCGGTTCCCAGTTCTGTTCATGTCTCAGAGCTTCTCCCTGCAGTTTATTTAAAAATAAAACGGTAGGGGAGTTTCCTGGCAGTCCATTGGTTAGGACTCTGCAATCTCACTGCCGAGGGCCCGGGTTCGATCCCGCAAGACGCATGCCACGCGGCGAGGCCAAAAAAAAAAAATTAAAATGAGGTCCAACATCCAGTGACTGGCGTCCTTACAAGGAGAGCTCAATTTGGATATCTGGAGGAGACCACAGCGGGGAAGGCCGTTTGGGGACGGCGGCAGAGCTTGGGGAGATGCACGTGCAAGCCAAGGAAAGCAAAACTTGCCAGTAACCTGCAGAATCTAGAACAGAGGCAAGGACGTTCTCCCCTAGCGCCTTCAGAGGCAGCCCGGCCCGAGGGACACCTTGATTTTGGACTTAGGGTCTGCAGAATCACAAGAGAATGAATTGCTGTTGTTTGAAGCCCCCCAGTTTGTGGTACTTCGTTACGGCAGTTCTGGAACACGGCTGCACCCCTGTGCCTCCCCCTGTTGCTGCATCCCTGTCCCACCCCCGGCCCCATCTTGCCGCACGTTCGCCAGGGGCGTGGTCCTCTCTGCGTACAGCTCCCGTTCTGTCAAAGAGGCTGTTTTCCATGGTCCTCCTCCCTCTGGGTACCAGTAACTGGGCTGCTTGCCTCAGGCTCCCAGCTGAGATGGGCATCTGGGTATTGCACCGTCCCTGGCTGTTTCCTTTGATCCTGCCCACAGCTCTGTCATCACACACTCTCCAGTTCAACTCCTTTGAGTGGACCTTCTGTTTCCAGCCAGGATGCTGAGGGATACCGAGGGGTATGTGCTTCCGACTCTCCTTCCCAGAGGACACATCACAACTGTCCTCAGTCTGTGAGGGGAGAGGTTAAGGGATCTCACTGGGCTATCTGAACCCCGTGGCCGGATATTTCTACCCAGCAGTATCCCGTGGTTACTTCTCTGCATCCTTTGTTGTTGCTAAATTCAGAGAACCAGACTGGGGAACGGAACGTGCATTCGCACGCCTGTGGCATTGCAGAGA